GTTGAACCCCTAACCTCAGGTCCTTTCTGATCTATCCGCCTTGGCCTCTGAAAGTGCTGGGGTTACAGTCCTGGACCACTGAGCCCAGCCCCATGTGCAGTTAAATTTTCATTTGCAAATGGAGGTATTACATTAAGACAAAGTGATAAGTTTCCCAAATTGATGTCAGTCAGCAACCATGGGCTTTACAGCAGTTCCAGTTCTTCTTTATTTTCTTTTCCTTTCGTTTTTTTCTTTTTCTGAGATGGAGTCTCATTCTGTCACCCAGACTGGAATGTAATGGCACTATCTTGGCTCACTGCAACCTCTGCCTCCTGGGTTCAAGTGATTCTACTGCCTCAGCCTCCTGAGTAGCTGGGATTACAGGCACCTGCCACCATGCTTGGCTAATTTTTGTATTTTTCTTACAACAGGGCTTCACTATGTTGGCCAGACTGGTCTCAAACTCCTGACCTCAAGTGATCTACCCGCCTCGGCCTCCCAAAGTGCTGGGATTATAAGCATGTGCCACTGTGTGTGGCCCAGTTCTCCTATCTTGTGTAAAGATGCCATGTGTCCTCCGTGTACAGTAATGGTTTTGCCTCTTGCCACGTCCAGAGTCTCGGCTTCTTCACTTCGGCGTTTACTTCATTGCACTGAAAGGTGTTTATGGGCTACATTTCTTAACAACACATAACTTCACTGAAGGGTCTCATTGGTGTTTGGGTCCCCTGATCACAACTCTAAGCCTGATACACCATAGATACTCAGTAAGTGTTGGTTCTGGGCCAGTGCAGTGGCTCACACACATAATCCCAGCACTTTGGGAGACTGAGGTAGGAGGATCATTTGACTCCAGGTGTGAGACCAGCCTGGGCTATAAGCAAGACCCTGTCTCTACACACACACACACACACACACACACACACACGCACTCAAGCAAGACCTTGTCTGCACACACACACATACACAAGCCAGACCCTATCTACACACACACACACACACACACACACAAGCAAGACCCTGTCTACACACACACACACACACACGAGACCGTCTACACACACACTCAAGCAAGACCCTGTCTCTACACACACACACACACACTCAAGCAAGACCTTGTCTACACACACACACATACACAAGCCAGACCCTGTCACACACACACACATACACAAGCCAGACCCTGTCTACACACACACACACACACACGAGACCCTGTCTACACACACACTCAAGCAAGACACTGTCTACACACACACACACACACACACACACACACAAACTAGACCCTGTCTACACACACACACACCGCCAGGCATGGTGGAATGCTACTGGGAAGGCGGAGGTGAGAGAAGCTTGAGGCTGCAGTGATCCATGATCACACCATTGCACTGTAGCCTGAGCCACAGAACAAGACCCTGACAAAAAAAATAAGATAAAGCCAGGCACGGTGGATCACACCTGTGATCCCAGCACTTTGGGAGGCTGAGGTGGTTTGATCACCTGAGGTCAGGAGTTTGAGACTAGCCTGACCAACATGGTGAGGCCTTGTCTCTACCTAAAATACAAAACTTTGCCAGGCCTGGTGGCAGCCTGTGACAGCTACTTGGGAGGCTGAGACAGAGAATTGCTTGAACCCAGGAGGCAGAGGTTGCAGTGAGTGGAGATCGTGCCATTGCACTCCAGCCTGGGTGAGAGACAAGACTTCATCTCAAAAAAATAAGATGAAAGAAGTGTCAGTTTCATATTCCCCTTCATAACACACACATAGAAACACATGCACATCCACAGTCATTTACTCTATAAATAGTTAAGTTAATGAATGTTCCCTTAGTCTTGCCAAGAACCTTTAGTTTTTGTTTCCAGGTGGGAGAAATAAAAAATATGAAATGTTTTATATTTTTCAATATATGTGCTGTATACATTTGGGATGATTACAGTAAATTATTGAAATACTTTGCTTTATGACTTTCATTTTAATTAGAAGAGGTCGACTTCAAACAGCTTAATATCCAGCTTTGGTTGTAAAATGAGCAACAGACCATTAGCGGGGTGAGAACTGAGTGAACTTAGAATCATTTTTCTTCTCCTTACGTGATTCAATGCAATAAAATCTTTCACTTGCATAAAATTAAAGAAATAAGCTTAACACATTTCAAATCCCTTATATAAATTGTTGCAAATATTTAATATAAACACCGGCCATAAAATCTTTGGGTTGACCCTCCATGGTCTCAATGATTACACATGCCATTTTTATAATTAAAGAATAACTTGTGGATTTCCCGTGACTCAAGGGAATCAAATGCCTTTCTATCACCTTATCCTGCAATGTGAGGATATGAACCTTTTCCATTAAACTCTCGAAGACAGGAATTTCACAAAATCATCTGTAACCTGGAAATATTTGGTCCCCTATTAATGCTGTCATCTTTTTTTTTAATTGAAAAAAAGGAATAAATCTCTAGCCAAAGATGATGTCCACTAAGTTTTGTTTAGGACAAAATCGATGATGTAAAAATTACTTTTCTTTTCTTTTTTTCACCCCAACTCCCCCACTAAAAATTAGTTTTCCTCAATTCCCATTAGAAAGCCTGAGCTACGCTTTCAATATAAAAAATATTTCCCAGCAGACTGAAGATAAAGCTTTTGGCAAAGCAGTGAAACGGGGATATGGCTGGACCAGGAGCCTGGAGCCTGCATTTGGCCAGGTCCTGGAGAAGGGATTTTGGGAGGCAATGTTGTGCCATGTATAGAGTACTGATTTTGGAGTAAGACAATTTGAGAGTGAGGCCGGGCGTAATGGCTCATACCTGTAATCCCAGCACTTTGGGGGGCCGAGGTAGGCAGATCACTTGAGGCCAGGAGTTTAAGACTAACCTGGCAAATATGGTGAAACCACGTCTCTACTAAAAGTACATAAATAGCCAGGTGTGGTGGCAGATGCCTATAATCCCAGCTATTCAGGAGGCTGAGGCAGGAGAATTGCTTGACCCTGGGAGGCAGAGGTTGCAGTGAGCCGAGATCATGCCATTGCACTCCAGCCTGGGTGACAAGAGCAAGAATCTACCTCAAAAAATAAAATAAAAAATAAAAAGACATACTTGAGACTGGGTAATTTACAAAGAAAAGAGGTTTAATTGGCTGACAGTTCTGCGGCTGTATAGGCTTCTCCTTTGCGGGAGGACTCAGAGAACTTTTATTTTTTGAGACGGCGTCTCACTCTGTCACCCAGGCTGGAGTGCAGTGGCAAAATTTCAGCTCACTGCAACCTCCACCTCCTGGGTTCAAGCAATTCTCTTGCCTGAGCCTCCGGAGTAGCTGGGATTACAGGCACCCACCACTATGACCAGCTAATTTTTTGTATTTTTAGTAGAGAGTAAGACAACCACATTGGCCAGACTGGTCTCAAACTCCTGACTTTGTGATCTGCCTGCCTCAGCCTCCCAAAGTGTTGGGATTACAAACTCACTGTAATCTCTGCCTCCCAGGTTTAAGCAATTCTCCTGCCTCAGCCTCCCAGGTAGCTGAGACTATAGGTGTGTGCCATCACACTGGCTAATTTTTGTACTTTTAGTAGAGATGGAGTTTCACCATGTTGGCCAGGCTGATCTTGAACTCCTGACCTGAGGTGTTTCCCCCACCTCAGCTTCCCAAAGTGCTGGGATTGCAAGCCTGAGCCACTGCACCTGATCTCTATTTTCATTTTATTTTATTATTATTTTTTTGAGATGCAGTCTCACTTTCTTGCCCAGGCTGGAGTGAGGTGGTGCAATCTTGGCTCACTGCAACCTCTGCCTCCCAGGTTCAAGTGATTCTCCTGCCTCAGCCTCCTGAGTAGCTGGGATTACAGGCACGTGCCACCATGCCTGGCTAATTTTTTTTTTTTTTTTTTTAGATGGACTCTTCCTCTGTCACCGAGGCTGGAGTGCAGTTACGTGATCTTAGTTCACTGCAACCTCTGCCTCCTGGATCAAGCGATTCTTCTGCCTCAGCCTCCTGAATAACTGGGACTACAGGCGTGAGCCATCATACCCAGCTAATTTTTGCTCCCTGGGGAGAACTAGAATTTTGTAGCTGAGCCAGAACACAGAAGACAGGTGTGGGCTCTGGCAGGCCAGTCTCGTGTTTGGCCATCAGCCCCACACAGCAAACAGGTGTGTGCTGTCACCCGTGGGTATGTGCTGTCACCTGTGCAGATGGGCAGCCCAGACTATTTGGGTCTGGGGCCCCCTGACGTTCTGTGCCACCTAAGCACTGTACACTGGCCACTTGGGCCTCATGGCCTCAGCTCCTCCAGCTGACGGGATTGAGGCTGGTAACAGAGCGGAGTCACATCAGGCAGGCAGCCTGTCCAGGGTCAGCCAGGGTCTGGCCAGAGGGGCCATTCAGGCCCACGCCTTCCCTCTTCATTCTCCTGGGAGACTGAAGGTCAACAGGCAGCAGTGGCTTAGGCAGTCCTGAGGGGTGAGGGGCAGGCCTCCCACTGTCAAGCCGGGAGCTGGTAAGTTTCAGCTCCCTGCTGCTGCTCTCTGGGAGGTTTCCTGAGAAGTCAACGCAATTGAGACAAATGTAACTTTAAGACTGTGTTCTCCTGGGTAGAGGGGGGAAGGGCACCCCCTCCACACTCTCCCCATGAGGCTGAACATGGCCACATTCTCCTATAGAAGAAGTTTACTGCTTCTTTGAATAAACATAGAAATTGATCATCCCAGTCTTAAAGAAAGTTACATTTGTCTCGATGGTCTTGGCTTCTCAGGAAACCTCCCAGAGAGCTGAAACTTACCAGCTCTGGGCCTGACTGTGAGAGGCCTGCCCCTCCCCCACCTGACTGCCTAAGCCACTGCTGCCTGTTGACCAAGGCCTCTGCCTCCAGCTCCCTAACTCTTGTTTTCAACACCTGGTTACATTTCTTCCCGGCCAGGCCTCCAGGACCCCCACCCTCTGCACTGCCCTGGATGCTGACAAAGGCTCTCCTACCCCTCCCTACCCAGCTCTTCCCCTCCTCCCCCCTCTGTTCGCACAGAGGCCAATTTCCACTGCACCTCTGCCTCTGAGAAATGGCTGGGAGTGCGCTTTGTGGGGGAACCCGGAGCTGGGGTGGGGATGGAGGCTTGCGTGGAGAGCGTTGTTCTCAGAACCCTCTGGGTCGCAACCCCAGCAGTCGCAGATCTTGCATCCCTGCCTGGCTTCCCTGCCCTCTGTGCCCCTGGGTTGGAAAGGGGCAACCCAGGGACTCTGTGGAAAGGGCGCACCTGGTGAAAGGAGCTGCTGTGCTTGCAGAGGTGTGCAGACCCAGGCCACCGGTGGCCTTTCCAGCACCGCCCGGCTCCCAGGCACCTGGCTGCTACTGCCACACTCCTACCCCTACCCAGGCTCACCCTGCTCCTACCGCGACCTGTTTCGACCCTTGCCAGCCGGCGCCCCGCTCCCGCCTGCGTCCTGCACCCGCTGCGCCCTGCTCCTACCCCTACTCCACACACGCCCCACTCCTACCGGTGCCCTGCTCCTAGCTAAGCCCAGGCCTTGCCCGGCTCCCACCCGCCGCCTTGCGCTGCCACTTCCCGCTCCTCCAGAGCAGCCTGCACCGCCTGGCCCAATAGTGATCCGAGCAGAGCGCGCAGCGGCTGAGTGCTCCGGCGTCCCTGCCCCGAGGTGACATTCCCGCGTCTGCCCCACTGGGGCAGACCTGGAGCGTCCAGGCTTAGCACCGCACCCCGCCACCGAAACCTGCCGGCCAGAGCCACTGTCCCTCCAGCCGTCGCCCCAGCACGCACTGGGGATGGCAAAAGCGACATCCGGTGCTGCCGCAGACGCAGGTACTAGGCAAAAATAAGTCTTGCTGGCTGCGGGTTCCCGGACAGGCCGGCGCAAAGGTGGCCTGGAGTGCCAAGCGATGGAACCCAGGCTTTGAGAAGCGCCTTTCTGCTTGCGCTGGGCAGCGGGCTGCAGTCACTGGCCACCTGGCCTCAGCTGGGAGCGCACTGGCAGGCAGTCGGCGTGCAGCGCAGGTCTCCAGCGCCAAAGCGGCATCCTGAAGCAAACAGGACAGCCATTTCTGGGCAGGCGTGGATGAAAAGCCAGGGATCCTAGAAAGCCGAGGCTGGCGTAGCATTTGCTGTTTTTGCAGGAGATGGGGGAGTCCTGATTTCCTTTTTGAGCTCTACCTCCTTTATTTCTCTTCCGGCTCTGCCGCTTTGGATGGCAGAGGAGTCTGAGGCTCTTAGGCAAGGCTGCTTTGCTTTCCTGCATTTTTGCCACCCTGGGTCTTAAAAACATAAAAGCCTGTGGCTTCTAGGATGGCTTGGAGGGGCTGCTACAGCATGCCCAGACCCAGCTTGCAGCCTGGGAATCCTGTGCCACTGTCTGGCGGGGCATCTGAAGATGTAGCTTTGGGGCCATGGGAGGGCTCAGGGCCAACACTTATGGGTGCATATTTTAGGACTGGGTGTCAGGGGCCAGGGGTGCTGCTGCACTGAGGATGGGGTGCAGTGTGTGGCACCGGGTGTCAGGGGGCAGGGTTGCTGCAGTGCAGAGGACAGAAGAGATGCAGTTAGCGGGGGGGGGGGGGGGGGGTCCTGGGCATCAAAAGTCAGGGTGACAGAGCAGGAGCACCGTCATCTCAGACAGACACCGCCACTTTAAGTTCCAGCTCCCTTTCTAGCCTCATGCATTTCAAGGAAATCACTTCTCTTCCAACTACAAGCAACCAGAAAGAGCAGACAGTAAAACACAGAGGAGACAACTTGGGCACAGAGGGAGGTAGGGGGAAAGTCTCTTGGGTAACTGCCAAACTTCACCCTTATACAATGGACCCCTGTAAAACAGTGGGCCTTGATAAGCACAGTTCTTTTCCTTCAGGTGCGCTAAGATAGGGAAGCTAAAAGCAGATGTGGGGGCATGCCTGCAGCTGCAGAGAGATGCATGGGAACTGACACACAACTCTGCCTCCCAGATAAGCACAACAGAGACACAGAAGCAGTGCAAGCTGCTGATAAACTCTCCCACCCTGAATTTTTAAAAACTTTTTTTTTTTTTTTGGAGACAGAGTCTGGCTCTGTCTCCAGGCTGGAGTTCAGTGCCGTGATCTTAAGCTCACTGTAACCTCTGCCTCCCGTCTTCAAGTGATTCTCCTGCCTCAGCCTCCTGAGTAGCCAGGACTACAGGCATGCACCACTATGCCCAGCAATTTTTGTCTTTTTAGTAAAGACAAGGTTTCACTCTGTTAGTCAGGATGGTGTCAATCACCTGACCTCGAGATCCACCCACCTCGACTTCCCAAAGTGCTGGGATTACAGGTGTGAGTCAACGCCCCCGGCCCCAAAACTTTTAATCTGTAAGAGAGTGGGCTCTGACCTAACTCAGCTCTTTCCTCTTTCTTTAATTCTTACAAGGGGTGCTGCTGTGCTGAGAATAGGGAGTACAGGTTTGGGAGCTGGGTGTCAGGGGTGCTGCTGTGTTGGGGACAGGGTGTCCAAGGTGGGGGTCTCGTTGTCAGGGAGCAGGGGTTCTGCTGTGCTGAGAATGGGGAGCAGGGTTAGGGTTTGGGTGTCAGAGGGCAGAGTTATTGCTATGCTCAGGACAGGGGGTCCAAGGTGGGGGTCTGATTGTCAGGGGGCAGGGGTGCTGCTGTGCTGAGAACAGAAGGAGCAGTGTTGAGGGCTGGGTGTCAGGGGGCAGGGTTGCTACAGTGCTGAGGATAGAGATGGTACAGGGCAGGGATCCTGGGCATTAAAAGGCAGGGATGCTGCTCTGCTGAGTCCAGGGGGTGCAAGGTGGGGTTTGGCTATCAGGGGGCAGGGGGGCAGCTGTGTGAGCATAGGACGTGCAGGGCATTGACTGGGCATCAGGGGGTGGGGGGTGCAGCTGTGCTGAGGACCAGGTATGCAAGGCAGGGGCTGGGTGTTAGGGTACAGGGGTGCAGCTGTGCTGAGGACTGGGTACAGGATGGGGTCTGAGTTCAGGGTGGGGTGCAGCTGTGCTGTGGACATGGGGTACATGGTGGGGGCTGGGTGTTAGGGCACAGGGGTGCTGCTGCGCTGAGGACCAGGTACAGGATGGGGGACTGACTGTCAGGCAGGGGTGCAGTGTGCTGGGGACAGGGGGTGCAGGGTGGGGGCTGGGTGTCAGGGGCTAGGGGTGCAGTGGTATTGAGGACAGGGCATACTGGGCAGGGGCGGGGCATAGGGGCAGGGGTGCATCTGTGTTTTCTTCTTCAGAGCAGGGTCCTCCAGCACCGCCTGGGGGAAGGAAGCCAGAATAAAGGCTGAGTAGAGCGCCACCCAGGCCCTCAATTCCCTCTGTTCCTGGAGGTGGCTGCATTTTGATTGTGGATGTCTTCTTCTGGATGAGGAAAGCAGTTAAGGCCACTTTCTGGTGCTGATGCTGTGCTACTCAGCCCAGCTGTGCCCTCTCTGTGCATCCCACTTCCTTTTCTACCCACAGCGGTTTCCCTGTGAGTGACTTCAGAGAATCCTGAACAGCAGCCATGGGCAGCCCAGGAGCACTCCAGGGGGAGCCTCAGCTCTTGCCTGGCTACTCTAGGGCTGTGGGTGCAGTAGGGAGACTGCCGCAGGGACCTCAGGAGCTGTCACATGGCAGGGAGAGGCCCCAGTCAAGACCCTGTGTCATGATTTCTTCCACACATGTGTGTGGCAATGTGTGGGGGACTAGGCAGTGGCTGCCAGACAGGGAGTGTGTCCCAGTTCCAGCTGCAGGGGACCACAGCAGCAGGGCCATCTCTCCCTGCTCGTCTGCACCTGGGCCTGCCAGGGCCGTCTTCCATGCTCCATGGGGCCTCTTGGGAGGCTGCAGGTCAGTGTGACTCAGAGAGGTCAAGCTCACGGTGCGGGCACAGTGGGGCGGGGGGGGGGGGGCGGCCTGAGGGCCATGACGCAAGCACTGCGCCCCTAGGGGCTGGGAGGGGTGAGAAGGTTCCAGGTCTCCCCCACCTGGCTCCTGCGTCAAAGTGGCAGTGAGGCTCGGGCTTGGGGCTGAAGGAGGTGATGCTGTGCCCCCAGAGGCAGGCTCCACTTACCCCAGGAGACCTTCGAGGACAGGCCCTCTCCTGACCCAGGCTCGAGGACACTTGGCAGCCCCTGGGGTCCTGCCTTTTCTCCCAGCCTTGGCCTCCCTCCTGGGTCGGGCCCAGGCCTGTGGATGGCTCTGAGCAGACGATCCTGGGCCTCCATGGAGCTCTGGACATCAGGGGGTGCCCAGCTGTGTGATCATGGGGGCCTCTGGGATCCACTCCCCTCTGCCGCCAAGCCTAGAGGCTGTGAATTCTTCGGATCCTGAGCTGTCCTCTCTGAGAGCCCGGGCAAAGCAGGGGTTGGATGAGAGCAGGCAGCAAGGTGTCTTTATTCCTGCAGTGCCATTCTGCTTGGCTCCTGCCCCCTAGAGAGCCCAGGGCAGGGAGATGGTGCAGGCAGGACCTTGAGGGCGGCAGCTGAGGCACACCTGGCTCCTAGGGGGAACTGGTGGTCCGCCCTGAGCAAACATCTCTGTTGAGTTTTTTCCTCATGGGTGGCTCCACAAATTACAGCAGCCCAGTCAGCACACTGAAGTTCACCTGTGCACCTGGACAGGTGTGCACACACCTGATGGGCCAGTGGGTGCAGGCTTTCCTCCAAGGTATCAGCAATACAAGAGGGGCTGGGGCCAGCTCAGGGGAGATGTCTGTGGCCCTGCAGGTCCAGGTCCTGGGGCACCGGAGCCGCTTCCCAGATTCAGGTGCTGGCAGCGGTGCTTCTGGTCCTGGCCCTGGGCTCCTCGGTGCTCTGGGCTGCTGATGTCTGTGTCCTGCAGAAGCCCAACGTTCCAGGGAAGAACCTGAGGAGCAGTGTGGCCCCGGGCAGGAGGCAGGGGAGGCAGGATGGTGGCCATCGCAGTCACTTCCACTTCCCTCTTGTGTCTCTGTGATTCTAGAAAATTCTCACCCTTGTATTCCTGAAAGAGAAAAAGAAAAAATGTAATTTGCTAGAATTTAAGCAATGATCTAGGGGATCCTGGGGGCAGTGTGCACTCCTGGTGCCGGCACCTGAGGGTGGTGAGCTGGGGGTGCAGCATGAGCTGGGGTGGGCGAGGGCTCACTGGGTTCCTTTCTTACACTGTACTTGCTGTTGAAGCCAGCACAGACCTGGCAGCCAGGACTGGTCCTGAGTGGGCCAGGGGTGTCTTCCTGGTCTGCGCCTCTCCTGCTCATCCATCATGGCCTGTGGGGCATCTCTTGAACCCCAGGAAGCCTGGGCTCCCTTCCAGCCCACACTGAGCTGAGGCGGGGCTCTGGGCCTGGCTCTCCTCACCTGGGGAAACAGGGCTCACAGGCACTTGGTGGTGTGGGCATGTTGCTTTGCCATGATGAGGGCCAGCCTGGCTATGGGACCCAGCACTGATGGGCAGCCCGCAGGTCATCTCTGCAGGAGACTCCTCTGGCAGGTCACACACAGGATGCCCCACCGATCTGTAAAAGAAGATTTCGAAGGGCTCAAAATCTTCTTTGCTCCTCCAGCCACTGACCACCAGTGCCTGTGAGGGCAGGTGAGACTGTACATGGTGACAGGACACCCTCAGTCTCAGGAGCTAATGCTGTCCACTCATGTCCTGCTTGTGGCACAGCCTGGCATGTCCCCCAGGCTCTGGGATTGGCGGCCACACCTCCAGCCCCTGTATCCAGCCATGTGCACATGAGGGCACAGAGCCTCGAGGAGCCTGAGGCTTAAAGAGCTCTGAGGCCTGGGAGGGGCTGCTGTCACTTTGCCTGTGTTCCACGGGATCTGGTCACACGGCCCTTCTCACTGAAAGGGAGGCTTGGAGTACA